AGAGTGACTTTCTTGTATTTGTATTGTGTTTTAAGTCATTTGACAAAGGTGAAATCTGCTCATTCTTATAATACCCCGTGAGGTAATTGGAACAGGCCCAATGACCTGTTCCAGTTTATATGACTACAGTTTAAAAACAAGAAAATTAAGACAGAGCGATTTAAGTGGTTTGTCCTAGGTCTGTGATAGAGACAAGTTAAGTTTTCATCAGACATCAGGAACACGGTCTTTGGGAACAGAAGTTCTTAAATGTGCTTAACATAATCCTGGATGCTATTCCAAGGAGGGTCTTTAGGGAATTCCTCCCTACCTTGTCATTCTGCTGCAGGCAGTTCTTTCTTTGGTTGCTAACCCAGTCTAGAATACAGAGACCCAGGTGGTCCTCAGGCCTGGACAGTGAGATTAGGGTACTTTTGCCTTCTTAGCATGCCACTGATGAGCATTAGAGGGACTTTTAGCCCTTTGAATATTAGATAAAAGGAGAGATTTTTCCTTAATCCCTCCCAGGTCATTTATTGCGCTAGGCTTTTTCAATTTAATGAAGCATGATTTTTCTCTGATTTATAAAGAGCGATCATCTCAAAGTTAGTTTTCCCAGTGAGGTATATCTGTACTGTTAATGTGACCAAGGCAGTGCTTTCTGACAGGGATTCCTAACTAGTTAACAATGACTAACTTGCTGGCTAATCAAGACCAGAAGTCAGCTCCCTGGTATGTCATCCATAGTGGAGTTAACATTCCCATTTCTCGTGGAGGCCAAGGCCTTTCTCCTTACCAGATGTGCTCTTGGACCATGGGTCTGAGAACCAATGGTCTAGAATGACGTGCTTTTCAATGTTGAAAGAGGCAGGAAGCTTTCTAATGGCACTTGGACTCACAGCCTGGTGATTCTGCCTACCACCTCGTTGCTACTGCTGCTCACAGAGCCTGCCATGTCATCTGTGATCTCTCATTCCCACCTTTTCCCAAACCTGTCACTTTCCATTTTGGGACTTATACTTTGAGGAGATGTGAATACTAGGGCAAGTCTTCTCATTGAATGATTGGATTTGGGAGCGGGTGGCTTCCTTCAGGCATGCTCATCCTAATTCAGGCTTTCTGTCATTTCATTCTCATTGTCACCAAAGGAAAGGTTAGGAAAACCAGAGTGCCTCCTCCCAAGGACAGGAGTGGGGCAAGGGCCAGTGGTTCTTTGAAGGTTAAGTATGCCTCATTCTAACAGGTGATGAGCTCATTTTCCTGGACCCTCACACAACCCAGACTTTTGTCGACACTGAAGAGAATGGAACTGTTGATGACCAGACTTTCCATTGTCTGCAACCCCCACAGCGAATGAACATTCTGAACTTGGATCCTTCTGTAGCATTGGTGGGTATCTGAAGGTTGGGTGGGTCAAGAGATAGGCTGCCATCCTATTAAAGATTGGTTCCCTGAGGGTTATCCAGGATGCTAGGTAAGGTGGCAAGAATATATTCACTTACATCCCCATGAGAGGTAGCTTAGAGTAGTAGGAAAGGAACGGACTCCAAAGCCAAACTGCTCAAGGTGGAATCCAGACCCTGCCACTTACTAGCTATGGACTTAAGGGGAGTCCTTTAACCTTTCTAAGCCTTGGTCTTCTCATCCCTAAAATAAACAAAACAGAAGTTTCTTCCTTCTAGGATCGTGTGAGGTATGCGGTAGGTAAAGTACTTAGCATAGTGCCTAGCACATTGTAAGCATTCTATGAATGTTAGTTATAATTAGAGTTACCATCCTTCTGCAGTTTCCCTCTTGCCCTTTAATATTGCCACACAGATAAAGGGTATAAGGTAGGACATAGATAGGAGGGAGAAGGGGGTAATACACCCTGGGTAGACAGTGCCCAATTTTCTGGGCACACAATCCAGAAAGTTGTAGTCCCCTCCCCCCCGCCCACCAGGACTATGACTTGTAGTCACATTGAAGGAGCAGCTGCCTGTGAAGTAGCCAGTGGTTCTGAGACCTGTCTGCATCATTTTTTTCCAGTTTAATCTGATTGTCAGAGCACCTGTGTCCAAAGAACTGACAGAGTCCTCTTGTCTTGGACCATTCTTTCACTACTATAGGAAGGCTCTGAGGATGAGGAAGGAAGCTGATGGTTCTCCTTATTCTAAGGGATAATTCCCTTAATGTCAGAGCCATCTGATTAAGTATTGCCTCTAGCTAAAAGTACTGTTTGGCTGTTGTTTACTGATTTCATTGACTATTCTTTATAGATATTTCTATGTGTGCACTAAATGTAATGGTACTAACCCCATGCTTTGGAGATTAGTCACCAAGTTACTATATCTCACAGTATAAGAGGAGAGAGACAAGGAGGAAAGGGACAGACAATAGAGAGAGGCAGAGAGACAGAAGGAGAGACTGGACAGGAAAATGGAAGGAAGGGAGTAGGGGTCAACGAATGAACAATTGTGTGTGTTCAAGTGACGCAATGTCTAGGAGAGAGATAAGCACAGGCAATCTTTATCCTAATTGTCGGGAAGTAGCATCCGAGAAGAATGGTCCACAGCCTACATTGTAACTCTGGGCCAATCACTCCATTTTGCAGTACAAGGGTCCTGTCTTGGTGCCCCTGAACAGTTCTAAGTTGTGTTTTTTTTTACTTCCCCCCAAGGGATTTTTCTGCAAAGAAGAAAAAGACTTTGATAGCTGGTGTAGCCTTGTTCAAAAGGTAAAGACGTGTGTTTTTCTTGGTCTTAAAAATGAAGGTTGTTCAATATGATTATTTTTCAAAACTATTTTTCATAGTAACACAAACCTAGCCTGATATGACTTTATCGTAAGAGAAAGAAACTAAGATGTGGGGAATTGTGCATAACTTTGGGGGAACCAAAGAAAAAACTTCCATTAGAAATATGTTTAGTATGTCAAGTGAGTGATATTTTTAGCTACTTAATGTTTCATCTCATTGAGCCTATGAGTCATACGAAATATTCAACTAATAGTCTACCATTTTAATCTGAAAATGCCTTTTCTTATAGCTCAGCCTAAATTTTTCCTTAGTCTGTTCATAACACTGAGATGGTTGAAGAAACTAAACTACTTTTCTGTTTAGTGGTCTATTTACAGTGTAATGTAGTCCATTATGATTTAGGGGGCTTGCCTTTCTGTTAACTGTCTTATTTATATAAAATATAAGCATGCTGCCACTTTAAGGAAACACAGTTTTCAGAAATCTGTGTAATACTAAAGCAAGTTATTCTTTTTGGTATTTAATGTAAAAGGATATTTATTGTTTTGTTGGCTCACCAATCTTTATATCTTCCTCCCTCATCCTCAGCTTCTAACACATGCCAGATATGTGGAGGACATTGATAAATGCTTACTGAAAGAATGAAGGGAGATCTTAGAGAGTAGTTTAAAGAGCCCTGGATGGGGTGGCAGGAGACACGGTGTTCTCCTATCTGCAAAACAAAGAGAATGGAGAGATGGGAACCCAGAGCCTTTTGTAAGCATGAGGAGGGAAGATTTTTCTTCACAAGTGAACACATAATTAACACTAGTGTCCCTAGCTGAATCTGAAACCCCAGTTAATAATTAGCTAAGACATAATAGAGAATTCTTTTATAAAAGCAATACTTACATTTCAGAATGCAGCAAAACTATATTTATATTACATTTAAAGTTAGAAGGAAACTTTTCTGATGAGACTATGCCATTTAAATTAGGACATATACCATAAGTGTTGGACTAAATGGAAACTATGTCAATTTGTACTAATATTTCTCTTAGGGCAGATCTAATTTGATTAACCAACATTTCTTTGGCGCCAACACTTCAGGAACATCTCACCCCTAAATTGAGTTGAGCTCGTGCAACTGGCACATGACTTGAACCTCACGATGGAGCATGGGCAGTGAGTACTGGCCTTCCATCAGATTCTCCCTCCAGTGTCCTTCCCTCCTGGCCAACAGTTCTAGAATTGAAGAGGGCTGCATCTCCAGATGGGTCAAGTAGAGAATGAGTGTATTTGCTAGGCTTTTGCTTTCATCTTTCAACAACCAGGCCACTCTCTTAGGGCTTGGGGTTATAGAGTTCCAATTAGACAGAAATGTAGTGACTGCAATATTTATAACTGTTTCTATGTTTCCTCAGGAAATTCTAAAGGAAAACTTAAGGATGTTTGAATTAGTTCAGAAACATCCATCACATTGGCCTCCCTTTGTACCTCCAGCTAAGCCAGAAGTGACAACCACTGGGGCAGGTAAGCAGTTGTTCAGGGCCTCTGTGGCCAGCAGACCCACAAGTAGCAGTTGTTTTACAAGACAGAAGAAATTGTCTGGACTGATCGAGGATTAGTGCTTCTGATTATTTTAATCATCTGATGAACTGGTACAGATTTCAAAGCATGATAATAGCCAAAGATGAGCTCAGTGCAAAAGTTCCACATAAAATCAAATAACTAGAAATTATTTTTTTTCCTGGTCTTGTTCAGAATAACAAATCAGAGGCCATGGGTGAGTCAAAAGGTGCCCCAATGTTTTACAGAGCCTCATCTTCATCACTATGAATGGGACTATGTAATAAGTCTGGTTATTTTGATTCTTTATAGAGACCTTCTAATACTTGGTGGCGGCCCTATCTATACCTCTCCTCCACACAAGCTTTTCTTTAGCAAAACAATTTAAAAATGCATAGTCTTCTCTACTGAGTAAGGTATTGACCACTTCAACCTAAGCGTCAAGCTTTTCTTCTTTTTCATTTCTGTATTCTGATAGAATTCATTGATTCTACTGAACAACTAGAGGAGTTTGAACTGGAGGAAGATTTTGAGATTCTGAATGTATAGAAGAGTAGAAACTCAACCTGGATATCTGTCTTACATCTGGCACCAGAAGAACATGAATTCATTACATAAAATTTTTCTAGTCAGCAAGTGCCTGATATGCCAATAGCATACAAACTTGATAGCAATCAATCATGACTGAGCCAATCATCATTTCTCAGATAAAACAATAACAACCCTTCCTCAGAAAGAACTAGAACAATCATGGAATCTAAGAGCAGAAAGATTAGGAGCCGTCCCTTGCTTCCCAGCTTGTTTTACATGGCCACAGCAAGTCTGCCACTTATGAAATGAGGAAGTAGACATCTGGAAGACAGACAGCAACTTCGACCTTGCTTCAAGCACCAGCAGATGAGAGATGGTTACGTGTGCTTCCCCACCCTTTCAGGCGTGACCTCTTTTGGGCTAAATCCTAAGAAGCGGTCTGTTCTCTTGTTCTAATAATAAAGTGATTACATCAGGGAGAAAAAGTTCTTGTTAAATTATTTGAATGTGTATTTTAATTAATTATAATTTATATCAAAAACTTTGTCAAGGAAATTATTTTAAATGTGTACTTGTTGATCTCCTGATTCTTTGAGGGAGCCTTACTATTTAATGGGTCACTGTCTCCTTCTTTATTAATACATTTTTCAGATGTCACCCTGTCCTTAAATCAAATCATGATCACTTAAATCAGGGGTCAGCAAATTTTCTGTAGAAGGCCAGATAATAAATCTTTCAGGTGTCACAGGCCACATGGCCTTTGTCATCACTGCTCAACTCTGCTGCTGGAAGTGCAAAAGCAGCCACAGACAATCTGTGCCTGGCCATAAGTCAATAAAACTTTATTTACAAAAACAGGAGGAGGACTGGATGTAGCCCACAGGCTGTAGTTTGCCAATTACTGACTTCAGTTGTTGATTTCTGTTTGAGAAATTAAAAATTGTGTTTGGATTAAACTCCATTTCGGTTGACAAACAATTAAACAGAATTAATCACATGGTGACATTTAATCTGTGCATCAAATACAATGGCAGACCATTTCAGGACTAGCAACATACTAAATTTTAAAGCATATATTCATCATATTGGCTTTGCCACTGATTCTCTTGTGGATCAAGTCACAGTGGTGTCTTCCCAGTTTCCTCTCCTTGCCCTCTTAACCTGTATGCATTTCACCTCTATCCTTAACTGAGTCTCGAAGAAAGCCTGCAACTGGGGTTTGAAAGCTAGCACAAAACTAAGGGATGTGTGTGTGTGTGTGTGTGTGTGTGTGTGTGTATGTGTTCATTTAGAAATATTAGAACATCTGTTTCCTTAGATTTCATTTTTTTCCCTTTCTTACACATAGGTAATATATTTCAGTGGTTCAAAATTCAAAAAAGTTCAAAATGGTATTCAGTGAAATGTCTCTCCTTCCCACATGTCAGTTCCCGTCCCTGAATGTTCTTGATGTTATTAATTTCTTGTTTATCCTTCCAGAGTATATATTTTATACATATTCAAATATATGCATATATATCTTGGATTTTATTTTAATGACTTTAAATTTCTCTATTTTTGATTTATTTGTAAGTAATTCTGAGGCCCCAGAAGTATGGAAACTCCTTTCTTGAACTCTAGCATGTGACAGGGCTAAAAGCAGTTATAGGCTTATCTCGAAGGAGGTTGTGGATTTGTTGCTTGTTAGAGGACTCTTTCTGGTCTTTGTAATTGTATTTTTCTTGCCTTAAAGTTTTGTTATAAAGCTCAACTTGTAGTAACAGTGGCCCCCATGGCTCTAAGGGGGGGGGGGCTCATGAATTGTAGTGAGATGGACTTTAGAAAAGTTTTCATCAAAGGATGTCAAAAGAGTCAAATGTTCCCAAAGCAGCAAAATATACATTCTTCTCAAGTGCACATGGAATATTTTCCAGGATAGACCACATGTTAGGACACAAATCAAGTCTCAGAAATTTAAGAAGATTGAAATCATATCAACCATCATCTCTGATCATAATGGTATGAAAATAGAATCCAACTACAAGAAAAAACTGGAAAATCCACAAATACATGGAGGCTAAATAACATGCTATTAAACAATGAATGGGTTATTAATGAGATCAAGGAAGAAATTGAAAGATACCTAGAGAAAATGAAAATGAAAACACAATGACTCAAAATTTATGGGACACAATGAAAGCAGTCCTAAGAGGGAAATTTATAGCAATACAGGCCTACCTCAAGAAATAAGAAAAAGTTGAA